TTCGCTTTATGATTTGGAAGGTGTATACCTGGACCCCTACCTTTTCAAGGACTCATACACAGATATCATAGTAAGGAACCCTAAAGGGTAGGTTGCTAACATAGGGGGTTTCAAGAGGCTTTGGGTGCCCAGGGTTTCGGGTGTGTCCAGACTTCGAGGCTTTGGGACAGAAAGGGTTCAGCGCGGGGTTCGAGACCCTACCTGGGCCCCTAAAAGCCTACCTTTGTTAAGGATTCATATAAAGAAATCATAATAAGGAGCCCTAAAATGGCAGGTTATTTGGGGTTAAGGTAAACCCTAGAGCACCCTTAACCCGAAAGCACCGAGAAAACCGGGCCTGGAGTATCGGAACCCAAAAAACCCCGAAGCCCAAACCTCGTTTGTGGACAAATCTGCTTTGAACATCAACAATGCAGGAAGGAGCCGTTCTTTTAAAGGGTTTAGGGTTTACGGTTTAGGGATTTTTCACCCCCGGAAACTCTCTTTTTTCTTTCTATATGGGGTCCTTAGGAGTTGGTTCGCCGCGCGGAGCCCGTGGAGCTCCAACGCCTCGACCGAGAAGCGGAGACTTCGGCGGCAGGTTTTCCTTTCTTGGGTGGTCCTCAAGGCGTGCCTTTTGGTGGTTTTGTCGGCTGTTTAGCAGAGTTTTGAAGCAATGGTTTTGGCCTGTCTTTGATTTCCTAGAAAGTTTGGACCTGGCATGGCATGTCACTCCTGGGGTTTTGTAGGCATGCGCACACTTGGGCCTTGCAGGCAGTCTTATATTTGTGCATTTCATACACCAGAGATGCGTACATCGAGCCTGAATGTTCTCTTCGTGCGACGGGGTGAAGCGGGCAAGAGGTGGCCTCTTTTGGGGTGGTCTTCGGGTTTAGGCGTAGGCTCTGGGATGCAGTGGGTGCAGTGGGGAATTGGGGTTGCAAGGGTACTGGAGGCTCTCGGGCCTGGTACAGGCTACAGGTTGAAGGGTCATTTGGGGCGAGGGTTTTCGGGTATGGGGTAAGGGGTAAGAGACGGTAAGAGGTGTTCAGTGCATTAACCTTGCCTTAGGAGCTTAGGGTTGGTTGAGCTTTAGGGAAATTCGAGAGGAATTGGTTTTTGGCTTGGCATGTTTCGTGTTAAACGATTAAGCTCGGATTGGAAGAAGGGTTTCGAGATGCATTAAACAAGTGCATTGGGAAGCCGTAAAGGAGTAGTTGCATGCAGTTCAGGTCCTAATACTGCCTGCTTGCACTTGAGTATTACAACGTCGTGGCACGATTCGAACCTCACAATGCGGTACCTCCCGGCGGCGGGGCCCCTGTTCGTATTGGCGGACCAGTGAGGAATACTGTAATCCGCCACCGGACAGCGATGCCGCAGTTCTTTACTGGATCTACACCTCGGGCACTGACATTGACAAGACCGCGTGCCTCAGCCACCCACAGTCGGTTGAGTGACTCATGTCGACACGGGCCGCACAAATTGGCACCGCTGACGCAACGATCAGAACAGTGCAACACGTATACTCGAATTACGCACCTGTCATGACAGGCCGCGCTCTCAATGCCCTTCCAGCCCCGCCGGATCACGAATGGACAGCGAACGAAGTTATGCGATGTCCACCAGACAGAAGTACCCGTCTGCAGCTTGTCGTCAACGATGACTACTGAGTACCACGAGGCAGCCCCTGCTTCACCCAACCCGTTATCAAGTTGTAGTATCCGTTCCAAAGTCGATTTCAACCAACCTGTAGATCCCAGTTGGATTCCCATCAGGAGGGCCGGTGATCCTTGCATTTGGGTCTAGGTCCTTCATGCTGGAGTTTGCTGGGACAAGAGTATCTATCATGCCGGGATAGCACATTCACGATCTCTCCGCACTGTCGGATGTTTCCGTGTGGTTCATGTCGCTTTGGGGCGGCCTGTTTCTTAGCCTGGGCCTGTATAGTCTTGGTCAGTCTGGGTTTCGGTGCATACTGGGGAGCACGAGTGGTTGACCTAGTTTCACGCCCACTCCCACCTTTTGAACCTCGCCTGGCTTGTCCGAGTTGTGAGAGCTTCCCACATGGTGTGTAACTGTGTTCTGTGTGCTAATAGGGTCCGTGGGCGAGGCCAAGGCTGTCCTTTACAGGGGCAAAGAATAGACAGGTCGATCAAGTATTTATGGGGGTATGATTAGAGGACTAGGACTAGGACACTAGGATAGCCCAGATGTTAATGTCAGCTGGCAGCCGAGGACAACATTCTGGAGCAGTGTCAGGCCCTGCTGGCCAACCTTTCCATTTGTTGTGTTCGCTTGTTCAACAATCCCCAGGCATTGAGTCATAGAGGCTTGTCAGTTGGATTTGCCAGTTTTATTTGACGCGATTGGGTTCACTTTCTTGCTCGGCGGAGCTTTGGCAGGGCATGGTTAGGCTATGCGCACCGGGTTTAGGGCGACTGCCGAGATCGCAAGAGCCCCGGATCCGAAGAGGCAAGACCGTCCACTTGCGTGTGGGGGTCGCAAGAAAAGTTCTGGCAGATCCATGTCCAGCACGGCACAGAGTGGCAACAGTTCATTGAGCTTACGTCCCTGCTTCAATTTATGGGTCGTCGCTGACATGGGCACGGTCCCAACGAGCCAATGGCTTTTTGGTGGACAGCCTGCGGGGCTTGGCCGGCTCTGGTGGCCGAAAGCAGCTGCCAACAGATATCCCCCGACGCTGGCTAACTGGAGAGCTGAGGGCAGCCACCGGTGTCCAAGCCTCCAACAGCAAAGCACTTGTCTGTGGCATGTGGGTAGTGTTCAAAATTATGGTCCCTTCTGGGGTACCCTAAATTATAGGTGCCGCATTATGGTAAGGACCCAAAAAAGGACCATAATTTTGACAACCACCCATGTGCAACATAGATGCCCGAAGCCCAACCTTTCGCGAGCTCCAGGAGGCTAATCGGGTCGGTCGGCAAGCGCCAACGCAGCCGCAAGCCAGGTTTGGCGTCCCGGCGACGTCTTCCAACATAGAGTTACTACAGATCTGGAACTTCCGTTTTCGTTAGGTACGTGAGGCACGTAGCTTGTGCTGGAATGGGGCGGAATAGGGTTCGGGCTTTAGCAAAAATCCTAGTCTTTAGCTGCTACTAAAACAGTTTCATCTGTTTTCTCCAGATAGCTACCGTGGCCATACGCAGCACCCTCATGCGCGATTCAAGCCCCGAGCCCTGATCCAAAAGTCCTTCACCCCATCCTCCCTAATACAGGGGTCTTAATACTTACCTATACTCTTTTTTGGGGGGGTTCTTTGTTATAGTTATACTTAATGATCCCAAAACCCTTATTCTAATTCGTAAGGCCCCTATCTTATACTCCCGAACGCGCCAGATCTCGGATCCTTAGTGACTGGCTCGCGGGCAGCCTTCCCTTAAGGTTCAGGCTGTGTGGGTTTATGGCGTCACAGTATATCCTTATAACAACCCTTCTCAACATCAAGGTACTCCCGAAAGCCTTGAACCTTTCAACGGCTTGGTCCATGATTTGAGTTTAGGGTTAAGGGTTTCCCCTTCTCGTACCATTGGGGCCTGAAGCAATTAGGAGCTCAAAAGGTCTGACTCTAAACTCCGGCGTGTTAGCCGGACTTGTGGATCCTTGCCTCACGCTAGTTGTGAGAGTCGAAGCCCTTGAAAATTTTGGACCCAGAACGCTAATCACGGCACTACCCTACACCCAAACCCCCTCACCCTAAACCCTAACTGTAGAGTTTTGGTGCTCATCTTCGTTTTGCTCGTCTGCCTTCGGCTCGAGAGATCTGTTATCGAACATCTTTCCATAAAGACTCAGGCCCCGGGACTGTAAGATTTCTCTGGTTGCCCTCTGGTTAGGGTTCAGTGTTATAGTGTAGAGCTTAGGATCAGTTCAGGCCTTAGAACAAATTAGGATTAATGGTATAGTTTGGGATCAGCTAAAGGTTTCGAGCCTAGGGTTATAATCTAGAGTTTTGGGTAAGTTGATGGTTGATAGGGGGCTCCCGGAGGGCTCCGTATTTCGCAAAGTCTTTGTCAGGGCTGCGAGGCTTAGGACCTAAGCCTTGAACCTGCCTGCCCATATCTGAGCCTCGCAACAGTGTCGACGAACGTCGTTGCTTGGCATTCTGTCAGAGTCTGTCAGTTTCAAGTAGGAGGAGCCCAAGGCCATAGTCCGCGGGCTTGAATTCTGAGACTCTTACTTTGTGTTCCGTAAAATGTGTATCGGACAAGACCTGCATAAACCGTTCTCAAATTCTTCAGGCTCCCAGCGAAATAGAACATGCACTGATTGATCAACCTGGGTACAGGGCGGTCGGCATCGGGCCTTGGTTCCCTTTCTTGCAACAGGAATCCTCAGAGTCAAGATAAGGCTCTTGGCGTTCTTCTGGTTGGCTCTTTAGACTTTAACTTTTTGGGCTTCTATATGAACCCTAAACCCTAAACCCTAAACCGTCTTTTAGGAGGGGTTGAGAAGTCAGCCAAGGGCTGATCTCCGTCAGCCCGTTGAGTCTCAAGAGAGCTGGCCATGCGACATCGGGGATTTCGGGGGGATGTCGGTGCATGTTACAGAAGCCCTAAACCCTAAACCCCTAAACCCCTAAACCCCTAAACCCTAAACCCTAAAGAGCTCCAGCTCTAAACCACAAACTAGGCGACTTTGCATGGTGTGTCCTCTGGGTGCTACGAAACTCAGTCGCCGAAGCGCCCGAGGTCCAGAGGTTGTTCGATTCGCACTGCTGTCCCTGACAGGGGCCACAAGTCACAACAACGCCTTCATCAGAATTCGATCGGAAAGCCAGGGGATCCTCAAGCAGAAGTACTCGGCAACGCAGAACCCACCTTTCGGATGGTTTCGCCCCCGCCTGAAACCCCCAAGCCTGGATTGGATCATGCACATGCCAAGTTCCGGAGACCACTCAACATATCTAGGTATTGCTATATATTATACCACAACACCCCATCGTGATCCCTGAGCTCTTCAAGCTTAGGGCCACACGTACGCTCGTGAGGTTTTGCGAGATGTTGCCAGATGCACAGTGCCTGCTGACGATTCTGAGCCTTCGATCGAACTTGACAGCCATTGAGACTGCAGATCTCAAGCTCCTCTGTTGAATTTTGGTTTCTTGTGGATTGAAACTTCCCCTGCCCCCCTCCACCTACATCTAATCCTGGGCATATGTTTCCAATTTAATACACACTTCGTAAACAGCTTAATAACCTTCCCCATGTCCCGGTTTCAGAATTCTAGAGCCCATGGTCCCGGTTTCGGTATGCCATGCCACAAATCAAGCTTGGAATCATTCAGGCGCTTACATCCGAAGCCAGAAGTCCTGAGCTCCCCAAAGCCCGCACCGAAGATTCTACCATAGTATACATATATACATATATATATATATATATATATATCATTATATCATATGTATATATATATATATATCATATGTGTGTATATATATATATATATATACATATGTGTGTGTGTGTGTGTGTCGAATTTAGGGTTTAGGGTTGAGGGAGTGTATATGCTTTGGCCTTGAAGGGGGATTCCGTTATGATGACTTTTGGGCCGAAGTACATCCGGCATGAGCACATGGACCCCTGCACCAACAGCAGCAGAATCCCAGCAAGGCCGAATCTCAGCGCACTGGCCTTCCAAGACGATTCCGGCTCGTTGTGCAACCACCACTGGACATTTGCAGTCAAACATGCTCGAAACCGCTAGGGGTGGGGATGGGTCCTTCTTCGGACTCGGGCTGCCTGCAACGTGTAGGAAGTACGGCTTGTACCGGTCATGCGGGTTTATGACTAAGATTGGCATTCCTAGAATCATTGGCCGTATCTTGTCGTCAGCTTGGATTTTCGGCAATTCGCGTGTGCCCATGATGTGGGGGACGCCAACCTCGATGGATGAACGTCATTCTCGTCACAGGTAGGTAAAGAGATTGGGAAGCAGGTTGCCCATGCCGTGTCAACTCAGCACACGGCCCGAGGTGTCGGGGTAGAACTTTACAGGGTTTCGGGTCCAGGTCTTTGATGCTATCGGTGTTTTAGGAAACTGGTCAAAATTATGGAGCGGGCAAATCGAGTCTTCCATACGACAGTGACGTCTTTCAACGGGATCCAAGTTCGAGGAACAGGTATCCAAAGCTCTTGCAAGAACCATTTAGTTGCCGCACAAGGTGTAGAAGCTCCCCACCCCCCCCATTCGAAAAAATGGGCGATGTCTCCAGGACCTGGTCTGGGATTGCAGGCTTTTGGCACGAGCGCGAGAATGACCAGCAACACGTACCTGGGCCGTCGCCACAGGCTCTGTCGAACGGGTTTGGGGACTTTTGGGGTCCGGGTGTTGGAGTTTAGGTTCCGGGCCGGAGTCTCAGCTACAAGAAGATAGGGTTTGGGGTTTGGGGTTTAGGGTTTAGGGTTGTTTTTCAGAAGGCGCTGTCCCGACGGAGTGGGGCTGGCTTTCGTCAGTTCGTGCGATTTTTTCGTGCCTGTGGAATAGCAATCCTCGCACCCTGCACAGTAGTTGCATTGAATACCTGTACAATGTCAAAGCGAGGTTTTCAAAGGCGTCTGCAGAGACTTCTAGGCATTCAATCCGGCCGAAACCAGTTAATGTATAAGCCTTGTATAAACGTTGCTGTGGAAGCCTTATGAAACCTGTCTCAAACCATAATAACTTACCTTGCATAGAAGCAGGTATTCTTCTCATAAGCGCTGTTGAAAACCTTTATGGACCCTAGGAAACCTTACCAAAGCCTGATAGGAAGAGAAGTTCCGCTTTCTGCTGGGTTGTTGTTAAGGATTCATGTTTGTAAGTTGCCATATAACGAAGCTAAGTTATTTACAATAGATCCCTCGTGTGTGGCGCCTTACTACTCTAAGCTCAACGCCTTATCAAAAGCCCGATCTCAGGTAAGTTGGAGCATCGACCGCTCCGGAGCCCCCAGTGCGGTGGGCCAGGTCACCGCCGAGTTATCCCCCGGGGCGCCATGTAGGCCGGAGCTATGCAGTGTCGCTGGAGTTCTTAACAGTTTACACAGTGTTCTTAGTCTTAGTATAATGAAACTCCAAGGGGCTATGATGTGTTTTAATGGTTCTAAGGGCGCTTAGGGTGCATGGTTTTGGGGTTGGTGTTTGTTACATACCTTGGTATGCGGAGTGGGGGAATATGGGCTGTAGGCTTTATAGGGCCTTTGGGCCTAGAGCTACGCTACCCCATGAATTCCAGACCTGGGTCTAGAATCAGAACCTACAACAATGTAAGATACAAATCCTCAGGCCCTAAAACGCCCTAAACCCCATATATATATATATATAATATTTATATATATATATATATGTCTGAAACTACCATAGAAGGGAAAAAACCCTAAACCCTAAACCCTAAAAGGACCTAAACCCCTTCTATGTGTCTGAAACTACCATAGACGGGAACAAAACCCTAAACCCTAAACCCTGAACCCTAAACTTTCTATGGTAGTTTCCGGCAGAGCTTTCCGGGCCCGACAGGTCGGGAAGCTCTTTGAAGTCCGACTCGGCACTCGTGGTGGTCCAGAGCTCCTGGGTCCTAAGCCCTTAAAGGGACCCTTGGGGTTATATAGGGGTTTAGGGTTTAGGGTTTAGGGTTTGAGCCCTTAAAGGGACCCTTGGGGTTATATAGGGGCTTTATGAGACTATATAAGGAATATATAAGGGTTGAACAAGGGTTTTTGGATTAGGGGTCCCTTCTAAGCCGAAAGAGCCGAAGCTTAGGGTTTAGGGTCTAGGGTTTATAAAGTTTAGGGTCTACGGCTAGGTGAAGCTTAAGGTTTGGGGTTCAGGGTCTAGGGTTGAGGGTCTTCGGTTTAGGGGCTTAGGGCTTGTTAGGGTTTTACCAATTATGGGTTTCTGGAATTATGATGGTAGGACTATGCGACTAAATGCACGGAGCACCTGGTTACACCAGCTTTAAGGCCGTAACATAGGGTTCGGAGTAGCTCGTACTAGGAGTAGCATCCCCATGCAACGGTCCTTGTATAGCTGTAGCCAGGCAGAGCCCTGCTAAATAAACCCCTGTGGTTAATTTGAGCCTTACTTGGCTCCTTCAGAGGCTGGTTTTTTCATGGTGTGCAATGATGCCGCACAGCCCTGAAACCCTGATTTCCCGAAGCCCTAGACACCCTACTGCCCTACGCCTTCCTTCTTTCTTAGTTCAGTACTCAGCCTTTTGAATTTCTCGACGCGCAGAGGAGCAAGGGGCGGAAAAGTTCCACCTGAGAAAGGCCCTAAACACGAGGATCCCTTTTGTAAGGATCCCTGACTTTTGTTTGTTCATTTACTTCATCAGGAGTTTGCCTTTTTTGGTTTGAGGAATGAGTACTAATTTGTCTTAGCCCTAGGCCCAAGGCCGTTCCAGCTCAGATCTTAGGCAAAGACCGCTTCGCAACGAATGTCTGGCACCGCATGGCTGTGAATCCTCGGCCTGATTTTGCAGAACGAAATTGTACAGGGCCTCAGAAGAGCTGTATACTGGTGTAGTAGGGTTAAGCCGCCTAGATTCGGTTTGTTGCTCCAGCTTTTGAACCACCAAGGATATTTATGGCATGGGTGACGCCCAGAGTGCTGCAGCTGAAGGGAAAGCTTCCCCAGAACATCACCGTCGCCTACTATGTGCCGCCCTTGAAGCAGCTCGGCTCCGCAGAATCCAACCTCCGATCCTCTTGTGGCCTGTTCTGATACGGTATGGCAGCCATGGCTCTGGGGCCCAGATAGTACGGCTCTCATATTTTGGGTTGTTATGATCTGCTCGTGGCGCTCTTTGCATGTATGCATATACTGACTTGTTTATGTTTCTACACTATACAAAAGATAGAAAGCACATGTCACATGTACTGCATAGGAAAGTTGCTTCTTCAAGAGAGGGAGTCATTATGTCACATGTCGCAGGTAGAAGCCCCAAACCTTACACCCTTAACCCGAAACCCTACACCCTAAACAAACCCTAAACCCCACACCCTAAACCCTGAACCCTAAACCCCACACCCTAAACAGAGCCGAAACCTTAAACCCTACACCCTTAACCTGAACCCTACTTGCTTCTTCAAGAAAGGGAATCCCCACACCCGAAACCCTAAACCATGAACCCTGCACCCTAAACAAACCCTAAACCCCACACCCTAAACAGAGCCGAAACCCTAAACCCCGCACCCTTACACCCTTAACCTGAACCCTACTTGCTCCTTCAAGAAAGGGAGTCCAGCATGGAGAACGACAGCGGCCCATATCCCTGGAAGATGCTGGGATCGCTGGCTCCTGAGGATGCTTTGCTGGAAGTTCGGCTTAGGGGGTTTAGGGTTTAGGGCTTTCGGGCTTTAGGGTTGCAGGGCTTAGGCTTTTGGGATTTGAATTTGGGTTTCGGGGTTTGGGGTTTTAGGGGCTGTTTAAGTAGTTTAATAAAGGCTTCTACTTGGCCTTTTTCCGGGGCAATGCGGCAATGAAGTATAAGGTTTGGTTGAGTGTTGTAAGAGTTGTGTACGGGCTTGTGAAGTTCAAAATTAATCTAGGTCCCTGGTGAAGGAGCTCCCGTCCCTACGGTTGATGGACAAAATTCTGCATGACCCAAATATAGTATAGTACCATAAATCCCATAGATTAGGTATATAAGGTCATGCAGGATTTTGTCCATCAACGGTATGAAGGCCCCCTAAATAATGGGTTCATCAATCCCGGGTCCTCATTGCTCGAAAGTAAGGGTGTCGTGAAAGCTCGCCTCTGAGAGCCAACGTCGGAATGGGTTTTAGGGTTTAGGGTTTAGGGTTTAGGGTTTAGGGATGGATTGGAGATCTTCAGGCTCTTGTGTGCATGGCGGATTTTCGGCGGGCGACTTCCCATGTGCGATTTTCTTGACATTGGCACGTCCCTCATGGGTCCTTATGCTACAGATCTCGATGGAGCTATATTCAGCAAGTTGATGAAGCCACGTACATGAGGCAGCTTCAATCTTACACTAAAGTGTTCCGGAGGTACTAATGCCATGCTGCCCAGGTGCCCAAAACAGAACCAAGTAGTAAAAGGTGCCGTGAAAGTCTGCAAAGTGACAAGATCCGCAACAGGAAGGCAAGTTGTGAGGCTTCCATGGTTTAGTAGAGCCACTCCAGGAGCTTTGAGCCGTATTCAGCCCCATATGGCACATGAGGGCTTCTCATGTGCGCATGTCTTTCGACTTGAGTTCATACTGATTCAAAAGTGCATACCGGCTTGCTATATTGCTATATATATATATAAGTAAATACAAATAGAAATATATATACATACATACATACATACATACATACATACACACACATGTGTGTGTGTGTGTGTCTGTGTGTGTCTGTATGTCTGGAGACCCAGATGCATACCCGATGGAGTCCCCGGTTTTGTCGCGACTCTCCATCCCAAGGACTGTGGCTTTGAGCATCGCATCAGGGCGCCAGAGGCCGTGGGGGTGTCCTTGGGAGCAGGTAGGGGCCCCGAATCTAAATCCAACACAAGCATCCCCCTGAAGTATCACCGTAGCACTGCAAAGGAACCCAACTGGCAGGATCCGAAGATCCCTGACTAAGGTAGTTCTAGTCCCCTAGCCCCGGTTCTCTTAACCCAGACCGCTCAAAACCCCACGCCCTAAAACTTAAAGCCTTGAGTCGTACCACGCAAGTCGCCTTCTGAGGACTCTTCAGCCGCGCGCCCTCCGAGCCCTCCAAACCGAAACCCTGTCATTTGCAACACCCGATACAAACTATGTAATCCGTTATAACATGCTGCTGAAACAATCTACTATAGTAAACTATAATGCATTGGAAGATCCTGTAACGACACTCTATTCGACCCTGTTGTCAGGACGGCTTCCTCTGGGACCTTGCATGGGATCTGCCGATGAAGTGCGTTCATTCTTCCAACCTCTGGAGAGACTTTCAGTCGGCTCCTGGGCGTTTTATACGAACTTGTCGATTTTGGGTTTAGGGTTTAGGGTGTGGTTTGGGTTCAGGAGTTTGGAGGTTTTAGGGGTTCGGGCTCAGTGTTTGACGAGGTTTGGGGGTTTGAGCACTAATTAGGGTCTACTGGTTATTGAGCTATTCGTTGTTGTCGTTTCGTTCATGTGAGATTTGCATCTGGAATTGGGGTGCGGGGGCATGCGGCGGTTTGGGGCTGTGGGGTTAGCGTCCGGACCCGGTTTGGAGTTTGTGGGGCACAGGGGCGGTCTAGTTTTCAGAAAGTATCAGGGGCTGAGTGTGTGTGCATATGTATATACAGAGAGACAGACAGAGAGAGAGAGAGAGGGAGAGGGTTCAGGATGTATGTAATAGAGTCTGATAGAGGTATGTGCATACGTGTGTGTACAAATAGATATATATATATATATAGAGATATATATATATATAGAGAGAGAGAGAGTAGGTTTCAGAAAGGTGCTCTTGGTTGGTTGGGCTTGTTGCGCTACTCGGGGGCCTGGGAGTCAGCCAAACAAAGCTGCCATGACCCTGGGACCCCGGGGACCCATATCGAAAGCAAGTAGAGTCTGGCGTTTAGGGTTTAGGGTTTAGGGTTTCGGGTTTAGGGTTGGAGAATCCCAAGCTCCCTCAATTCACCAACTCGATACCAGAATCTAAAGCCAGAGCCGTAAAACCCCAAGCCAGTATTCGCCTCAATCCTCACCCCTCGACCCAATGCAATGAAAAATCCTAAACCCGAAACCCTAAAGCTGAGTGAGTGCAAACAGCCTAGGCGCTTTATGCCGGCGTCGGGCTGGTGTCCAACCAGTCTTCGGATGGCCGCAGTGCTTCAGTCCGAACATTCCTAGTGCTCCAGGCCTTTTTATTTTTTGACGGGTGAATTAGGGCTATAAGTTACAAGGACCCTGTGGCATTAAGTGTTGAGGGCTATGCTTGTTTTTGGGGTGGGTTGGGTTCGGATGAGAGCGTCGGCGTCGGAGTTTGAAGATGTGTTTTGGGACTGTATCTAGGAAATCTTACGTAGTATGCTGGCGGAATTAGTTGGGAGTTTGGGGGTCTCAGGGCCTAGGGGTTGCTACGACTACTGCCACCACATATTTGAGCATCAGCAACCACTACCAATACAACTCATCAGTGCAGTGAGTCAGGGAACAACACTGACTAACAACAACGCTCTCTGTAAAGGCATATATCAGAGTACCGGTAGTAAGAGCAAAACCAACACTACTAATAATAGCAGGCCTTTTTTACAACAGCGAGAGTAGTCAGAACCGTATTGAGATGACTGCCCTAAACCCTATCCTAAACCCTCAACCCTCCTAGGTGTTTGTTACGTCGGCCGGCCGACTGCGAGTTCTGACCGCTCCTGGAACGAGTTCAGTTCACAAGTAGGGTTTTGGCTTTCGGGTTTAGGGTTTAGGGTTTAGCGGGTGTGCTGGGGACCGGGCTGCTGTGTACGAGGCCTGCTGTAAAAGGGTTTAGAGGACTAACGATTGACTACTGCAAGGACTTCAACAGTCAGAGCAGGGCTTGGGGAGATATGAAGATGTGAATGCTTGAGTATGACAATGAGGGATATGCCTACTGATTATTGAGACCTATGACCTATGCATGAGTCATTACCAGGTCCTGAGGGCTTCAACGTTTTAGAGTCGAGAGTTTGTTGGTTTCTTGTGTTATGCTAAAGCATGCTCAGTCGAAGATAGCGTGTTCAAGGCAGTTTCGGCTTTGCTGTGTCGAGCTCTGCAATTGTGCGCAAGCGGTCTGAACGTAGCGCCTGGAGACCCATTATGCACTGATAGCCCTACTGTTACTCAGTTCAACGAGTGATGATCTTATTCGTGGCAGCTGGCTATGCAGATCTGCCAGGTACAAGTTCAGCGAACTTGCTTAGGCAAAGCGACGTGGTAACTTGTTGCTGTTTTGGAGGAGAGAATTCATAAACCACCCCACGCTTAACGACCAAACCTCGAGATCTCTCTTAGAATACCAAAATGGCTAAGGTTCACTAATCAAAAATTATGGTGTCGAGCACGATGGTCGACCGTGTCCCCCGAATTAAGGGGCTTTGGGGTCCCTAAATTCCAAAGCATAACAGTTACCAAACGCACCCTGAGCCCCAAAACCGAAATTACCTCAACCGTAGACCCTAAGATGCCGAAACCCCTAACCAGCTCAGCTGAGGACAGCTGAGCGAGAAGACCTTCGATGCACTGAAGCAGACTACGGGACGCGTCCGTTTGGATGGGGACTTCCGGCCCGAAAATATGACCCTCTAAGGGGCAGTACAGGGTTTTTGAACGGGAGTCCCGCAAGGGCCCAAGTAACAGTATGTTAATAAAAGACCACATCGACCTCTAAGGATAATCGCTGCATAAGTTCTTTACAAGCAGAGGCTGCCCCAGGCTTCGTAAGGCTTGAAAGGGTAGTCTTAGGTGCGAAGGCTCTATAGTAGACTGACAAGCACAATCCTTCAATAGGCCGAGTGGGTCGAAGGTCCGTGTCCTGTTTGTTTATTCCTTTTGACAGGATAGCGCAGCAGCCAGAAAGTAGTCTTCGTTGAATGATAGTGTACGAGCCACAATGTGTAGCCCTTATCCGACCACCCCCAACAGAACCGCTCAGCCAGGATGCAGATGTTTGAACCCTCCGGGGCCCATAAGCCGCTGTAACATGAACCCAAGCCAGCCTCTGTAAAACACAGGCTCTGTCTAAACCCTTGAAGATCCACCGCAATGCGGTAAATCAAGTTTGGAAACGGACAACAGGATGACAAGAATCTTGGATTTTTTGGCACTAGACCCAATCCTTGCTTGACATTGCTTTTAGTAAAGGTTTTTAGGGTATAGGAACATGAGTTCCCGTCTTGATGGCAGTTTCTGTGCCCCCCCGATGTCGTTCCAAAAGCTTGAGCAGTAGCACTTGCCACCTTTGTAAAGATTTCAGAAAAGTCCTATGCAACCCAAGGCCCGTGCAAATCCCAAAACGACATCCCAGTGTACACCTCATGCTGTAGATTGTACAGACTCTTTGTATCACATGTTCTACGTTCTATAAATCTATAAGTATGCGATATACCGCCCCAAAGTCCGTCCCAAGGAGCCTCTGATTTTTCGCCCTCTGGCCTTTGACGGCAGCGTGCCCATCTCGAAGCAAGCCGAGACGCTCGGCTTTGGTATTTGTCTTAGGTTGTTAGGCGTACACTGTGTTTGCGAGGACTTCATGTTTTTTGTGCTTCACACCGCTTAGGAACTGTAGGGTTTCATTGGGTTGTACCATGTTTTCTGAGGTTGTTGGTTGTAGGGGTTTCGTGGGCTTCTTATGGTTTTGTGTAGGCTGTCTTGGCTCCACTCTCGGGTTTTAAAGTGAGATGTTTTGGATTCTAGCCCAAGCCTCAGTTGTTGATTCAAGACCTGAAATTCAGGGCTTGCAGGGTTCGTTGGAGGGGCGTATCGGTTCAGCATGGGTGGCATGATGGGTTCCAGCTTCGAGTTGGGATGGTGGGTTTAAGAGCCCTTGTTTCTTTGTTCAGGGTGTAGGGGGTTTAGGCTGAACCTGTCCACCCCCCCCCCGCTCCGATACAGGGGTCCGAATGCCTCGCTAATAGTTGCTCAATGGTCACATCCTTCACATACAGTTATGCTGTCATAGAAGCCCAAACACCCTGCGCCATTTATTGCGGCCCCATATGACTCCCAAACTGATGCAAACCGCATCCTCCCTAAACCTTAAACCCCCAAACCTCTAATCCAAAACCCTAACCCCCAAGCAGCGCAGGTCTCTACTTTCTGATCGCATGACTACCGAGCCTCATCGAAGCACCCCCTGGACCCTACAACCCCCTAAACCCTAAACCCTAAACCCTAAACCCTAAACCCTAAACCCTAAACCCTAAACCCAACCCTTAAACTGCAAACGCGTTAGACCCAAAGCCCCCACATGCCACCCCCCAAAGCCTTGAAAAAACCTCTGAATCCCAAGGAAGCCAAGGCTGCCCCGATTAAAGGATCACGGGACACATTTAGGAAGCCAAGGCAAGTTATGTGCAGTGTGGTAAGTACCCTTCATTGGGCTTAGTAGATGTAGAACCTGATACTGAAGATGCTGATAATTCCCCCCTGAGCCTTCAATTACTGCGAGGATGGTCAGCGCTTGCGATGTCCTCATTGGGATGCATGGAGCCGGATTGATGCATTCCATCTGGATGTACCCGGGCGGCTTTTATCGAACCGTCGATTCCTCTCTCTCTCTCTCTCGCTGTGTTTAGTGGTCTACCCAACTCATTCTGGGGTATGGGAGTTCGCCCTAGCTGTGGCTCCACTCTAGGGTCATACACTCCAAGGCTTACATCGCTACTGAGAAAACTCTAAACAAGTACAGACCCAACCCCAGATACCCATTTATAAGACACGTGGAGGTATCCCGGAAGTGTTGTGGTGGAGCTGATGGACCCAGAGCATGCGGGTGCCGCCTACTACCGCAACGTTGCGCACTTATCAGGACCCATGCTTCAGGTCATTATGGGCTTGTATCGGCTTGAAGGATGTGGGGCAGGGCTTATACTAGTTGGTGAAGGTACATAGGGCGTCTTCGTATGGGTGGGTGTAGTTCATTATTTGGGGAATAGTGTACAAAAACAGCCCGCTTTGCGTTTGCTTTACGATTTCAGATACCATCCGAGGGATTGCCCAGTAATTGCTACATTTCCAGCCTGGCACCCCGCATTACCTAAACGTATCAAGCCCTAATCCCAAAACACCGCCTAAGCCCTTCCTGACAACGTGGTACTCAGCCAAATGTGCTGCAGCATCTGGTGTTTCATCGTTGGACCAGTATCGCAACAGACCTTGCCAGGCTTGTCCGAGTGTGAGTGTCCCAAAACCACCCCAAAGGCCCGAAAGCCTCAGCCCAACAGCCCTTATAGTAAACCCCAAAAAGTTGGAAACCGGATTAAGGACAAATAGTGCTGGGATTCCCTATACATTACTCCTAGGGATTGAGGCCATTGGGTTTCCATCTTTTGGGCTTCTACTAAAGATGCCGGAACCCCAGGGCAGATAAGGCGTGCACTGCCAGGACATGTCTACCTACAGCACGCCAAGAGCGAGGTCGAAGAGAAGCCTGAGGTTTCCAGGATCATCCTAGGTCTTTCTGGTATCTATCATTGTTGGCAGCATATTGCTATTACTACTCGTATTACTACTGTTATTAATGTTGTTGAAACCTCGAGGGTTTAGGGTTTAGGGAGGACGACCCAAGGTTTTTGTGCTATCATTGTTGGCATGACCAGTGCTCTTAAGATTGCTACTATAACGGACCGCAGACCATACCCGAGACTCCTATTCTGAGTATTACGGCAACTATCTTACATTAAGGGCTTCGGGCTTGGGCAAAAGTGGTGAAAGCAAGCAGTCCTTGCACTTGGCAGGGTGGAATACTCCCTGTGCGCCATGCCCTTATTCAACCTGAACTGTCTTATAGAAGAATATTGAGAAGGACCAAGAATTTCATGACGCATAACTGTTCGTAAGTAAGCAAGTAAGCAAGCAAGCAAGTAAGTAAGTAAGTACGTAAGTAAGTCAGTAAGTAAGTAGGTAAGTAAGTAAGTATGTAAGTAAGTAAGTAAGGTTGAGGGTTTAGAGAACCCGTGCCGTAAGAAGGGCTGCAATTCTACGACATTCTACGATACTGTACCCCACAACGTTGTTTTAAACATTACGTCCCACGCATTGTTCTTTGGATACTTGCACCCTGAGACTAGTGTAGCTCCGAGGTTCTGAAGAGTTTGATGGTCACTGCTGCGGAGATCATCTCCAACAAGGCCTTCTCGAAGTTGAGTGCAAATTAAACAAAACCAACTGTTCAGTTTCTGCAACCCTCTTTCAAGAAGGTGCTCTTGAGACCCAAAACCCCTGAACCCTAAACCCTAGAACCCCCCTAGACCTTTCCGAAGGTCTCCATGGTAGTTCCTTGCTTGGGGTACCTTCCCGGATCCCAAATAACAACTGCTTATCCCGCCATGCAGGAGGCAAAAAAGAAACGGAACGACATGGAGACTCCAGGTAATTCCTCAAAACCCGGATGCATGTTTCTTGACCTCCGAAGCCGGACAGCCAAGAGGCAACCAACTCGCTCCACGTGAGTATGCTCCAGAAGGCTGAGCGTCGGCGTGTGACTTATCAGCAGGAGCCCGAAACGGGGCCCCGAAGCAAGCCTGTTGGCGGAGCCGGAGGGGTTTAGTTGCCAGGCCGTTTTAGGGTGGAGGAGTACAAGTATGTCAGGGTTCAGGGTTATGGCTTTTTGGTCGACCCTTCTTGAGTTTTGTCGGGCTCCGGCGTAGTTTAGGGTTTTGTCATCTCCAGGCCGAGACTGGTCCCTGCCCTCAAGGGCACTCACCTTTTCGGTGAAAAGAAGCGCTGCTGCGGTTTGGTGGGTTTGGGGTAGATGTGAATGTTGCCTGAAGTGGATGAAGGCATGAAAGTTCAGGCCTAAGCCTAGGGCTTGCGGCTTCAAGTTAAGGGATTACGATGTTGCGGTGTAACCCGTAAGATGCAGGGTTCAGGCATACATGTAGCCGAATGTAGCTCCCTGCTGTTTTTCAGCATCCGGCATGCATGTATTTGTCCTGGCCTGTCCTACTCCAGCGAGACGGCTTCGGCAAAAGACTTGTCTTTGCTAGTCGTCGTTGCTCGGCTTGTACCGCTACTGTCACTGCTGACCACCAAAGCTTGTAATCCCGAATGTTGAAGTTCGTAATTAGGGTTTGTGGGAGGTCTCCAAGAAGAATATGGACGTGCAGCTTGCAGATTTGCAGCAGCTTGGCGGCATGGGGGATTAGGCGTCGAAGGCTCCAGGTTCACGGTTGAAGATTAATTGCGTGCTCCCTTCTATCTCTTCAAAGGTTGTTCAGGCAGTCGAGCATTTGCAAAGTATTGAGTATCTGCAGAGCAACCGCAAGGCTTAAAGCCCGCAAAATCATGTTGGACGCTGCAACCAAGCATCTTGGGGCACTCTATGGTTTTCGGCTGAAGGCCCCCACCCAACACTCGATTTCCATAGCCCAAACCTAAGGCTTTTGCCTTCGGGAACTGGTCTTTCGGCGGTTATGTGCTTTTGTCTTGAGAAGGAAGAACCGGGGCACATTGTTGAAAGGCCTCCAAGACCCAATTTGGCGGCAAAAAACCGGACGACTTGAAACCTGGATTCAAGATCCTGGGAGCTGCGATTCCTTGTGGGCTTTCTTTGCAACTAGCACATGAAGAGTCTCATTTACAAAACTTTCAAAGATGGCACCGTAGGATCCTGCCGTTTCGATGTGGTGTTCCGGACATACTTGTAGCGAGAGAGCCCAATTTTCATCACGGAACATGCCTTAAGCCAGACTGGCAAGCGTTGCAGAATGCATAGCTGAAGCTGCTGTTCGTTAAATTACCGGGCCAAAGGGCTCTCTGTGTAACCCCCTCCCTTAAAAAACAAAGTCCCTGCGGAAGCCTGGGGTAAAACGCGGAGTCGGGGCAGGGCGGCGGTGAACAAAGCGGCCTCCGAGGCGGCCAGGTCACTGGGCCGGATTTTCTCTTGAAGGGCTTTTGGTCTTGCTAGGTTTTCATTAAAGCTTCATGGGAGCTGTTACAAGGGTTTTGTTCGGAGAGCTTGTCATTTTGAAGGAGGGTTGGGGGGGTGTGTAGGTGAAAGGGGCGTTTAGGCTTGATGTTGGGTCTCCGAGCGGTCATGTGTTCGCGCTTCGGAGTAGAACCTTTAGAGTTATGTGTTTAGACGTTCCGGCTTTCGGACGTTTGGGTCGCGGCAATGTGTTGGGGTAGTCTACATCGGCCCTTGTCACAGTGCCGGTTGAATAGACTTTTCGTGCAGATGTAGAGTCAAATCAACATCGTGATGTAAGGACTACACAGGACATTAATACTACTGACTAAGCTGCTCAGACACTGCTGTACTAGGGTTCGTTTCGGGATGAAGCAGGGTTGCACCTCGGGTTTATGGTTCCAGGCTCGGCAAGTTTGGGTTCTGGGCTCGGGATTTGGTGCTTGAGTTGGTTCAATCCAAGCTAAAGTGCCGACGGGCCCACTATTTTGGGGGGTGTTGATTATAATTCTAGTATAATTATGGGCACCAAAACCCTATTTCTATAAACAAGGCTCCAAAATCAACCGTTGAGGTTTTTGGCACGCCTCCTTGCCAAAGCTGCATCAGCACTGCCCCAGGTCGCAGCTCAATGCCCTAACACCCTAAGCCACCAAGCCGCTCTACGAAGCCCTTTTGAACCTCCCCTTAAACCCAGTATACGAATCTTGTAACACCCTATAGAGCCTCCTCTAGTTCTTCGGGTCCCAGACTTAAACTCCGATCCCATGGTGACGCCCGTTGAGCCTCAGGTTCTTGGACGTCGCCCGCACGGAGCTGGGGCGTCTTAGATTTAATTTGCCTCTGCAGCATACTGAGATGCTTAACATACGGCTTTAGGGCCTATTGACGCTTGAGGCGTTCGACCTCTCTCCAGGGGTTCGGATTTAAGCTTTGTGTCGGACTCTCGGGCCTGCGATGCAGCATTTAGGGTCTCGCAGCACACCAAAACGCTATGGTTCGGCAATTTGCGGGTTCGGGCTGTCCACATGACGCTGCTAGGGTCTTATAGAGGGTTTAGGGTCTGAGCCCCAAAACCGGTTTCTGAGGGCCCTCGCGGCCGACATTGCAGACTTCACCGCGAAGCACAACCACCTCAGGCCTACTGCAGGGTACCCTGAAATCCGACTTTTGTAGGATTGAAGGGTCCTTTGGCTAGCTCCAAAACAGTCTTTGCCGCTCTGCCTACTATATGATTTGGCATGGAAGATCACATAAGTTCAAGTTTAACGGGACTGGTTACCTAATGCAACGGAGGGCTTCCTTGAGCCAAATCCCGCAGCGACACCTTCTGTAGTTTACATGGAGGGTCGTGGTGAGGGGGTTGAGGGCATTCATTGAACTCACAGTTCCTCTTGCAAGATACCACACACTCTAAGGATCTTTTCATCAACTGCCACCGGGGCCGTGTAAAGATTGAAAGACTTCTGAACAAACGAAAGTTTGGCGATGCCCCACCGACGCAGAGATTTCTGAGCAACTGGACCGTCAGGCCCAAATGCAGCAAACATGGACTTGGGGACTAGGGTGTCGGATTTGTTTCGATTGATCGGGGTCATGCTCTAGGAGACTATGGCTGAAAGGAATGCATGGACACAAGGGACTGTTGGCAACCCGATGATGCTTCCTCAGCCCGAATCAACAGACTAGACTCCGCATGGCGAGGCTGAGAACTTGCATTCTGAGCCCGACAGTAGAAGCCCACACCACATCCACAGGAAAGCTGACATTGACTATCAAGCCGACCTCTTTGACCAGCAGCGGAGCATCCTGGCTGCAGGGCGAGATTCGGAGGCACCCGTTCAGCCCGACAAGACGGCGGTCGGAGGAAGATTTGGGAGTTTCCCAAAATAAGGGGTACCTTATTCTGCGGTCTTTATAATAGGGATCCTATTATTTAGGGTACTATATTAGGGTCCCCTATTTTCCGAAACCCCCATTTCGAGTCAACTGAGATGATCTGTGAGCTGCATCCGATTACAACAGAGGCCCTAGACTACCAGAGTCAGAACATGGGAAAACGTATATGTGTGGCTGGTCCTGGCGCTGCTTTAACAAGCTCACTTGTGTGGTCTCTGGTCTGTGTCTTTCCCGCCCATCGGCAACTCCAATTTGGGTAACCGTCGAAATCATGGTCGCTTTTGGGGGAACCCCACACAACTCCACTCTTCATAAGGGCGCCCTTTTAGTTTGGGAACCCAAAAGAGAGACTCTAATGAGGACAACCACCGTCACCCATGCGTACTAACTGAGCTGAGAAGTCTGCGCTTCTCAACACGACCCAATCCAAGTCAGAGAGTGTACTATCGCTGAAGCAGCCAGTTCCCTTCAATCAAAGGTTCACAGTTACGGTTTGGAGTTTCATGGCTCTCTCTTTCAAAAGAAGCCGGTAGCCCCTTGCACTGCCCTCGAAATGCCGCTTAAAGCAGCCCAAGCCAGCACTCCTGAAGACCTAACGCCTTCTAAGCCGCCAAAGCCCAAACATGAGCCCCAGCCGCGAAAGCTCCAGGAAACGACGCCCTGTCAGACCAGCTGGAGAAGCTTACGGCACGACGTGGCTGGGCAGGAGAGCAGGGCTCCAGCTCAGGAAATTTGGGGCTTCAGGGCTTCAGCAGGGTTTCAGGGGTTAGGGGTTAGAGTTCAGCGGTTTGGGGTCTAGGGTCATTGTCAAGGGTATCCTGCCCCCGAATCCCTACTTCACTGAAATCGTGGAGAAGGAAATCTTCCAACCTGAACAACTCCTAAACCCTAAAACCCTAAACCAGCCCTCCTTTTCTTTTCACCGAGGTCGGCTTGCTGAAACGCGGTTGCAGGCGGACATGGAGAGCTGCTTGGCCGATTTAGGGTTTAGGCTAAGGGATTTAGAGTTTGTAGGGCTTTAAAGAGGTTGTTTTTCAGGGTTGGGAAGGATGCCGCAAGGTCCCTCGTTGCAGATATCGAGAAACGAAAATCCTCTGAAGTCCTGACACAGAAGGCAGTATCTATTTCTTGCCCTGAATTCTCAAAAACCCTAAACCCTAAGCTTATCGACAGCTTGCTTCACCCTGAACAGGTCGGACCTTGGGCGTTTCATTTTAAGGACGAAGCAGGCTCTAAGCTGGGTTTGGGTAGGTATACTGGGCTCCTTGGGAACACTGGTGTGTGTGTGTGTGTGTGGATTGTGGGTTTTACTATTGGGAGACCGGTCATACACGAGACTTTCATCGAATATATAGAGGTTCTACGAGCGTCAGCGTTTTCGACCTCGAGCCCTCAAGAAGAGTGTCAACCTGAAACGCAAAAGCATACCGCTCGCACAGCCCTTAATCCCAAACCTTTCAAGCTCTCGAAAATAACGAAACCCAAACCCTTGGACAGTAAGCAAGCAGCATAAGGGCCTTAGTAGTAGAGTAGCTAACTTTATACCTTTGTGCGGTACTACCACCCCTACATATTCTCAAAGGTTAACCGTTAATTAGGGCCTACGAGGATCCCGTACTTAAGGCCTGCGAACCGAGAACACCGTGCTCAAGCGATCGATGGGCGCGCTATCCAACCTCTCCAAGGAGATCTTAGTATAGGGGCCCCAAACAGGGGCTTCATTCCAAAGGGATTTATGTGGGATATCCCTATCCTCTTTTTTGCTTACGTGTTGTTTTGCTGAAGGGCCCAGAGTACACAATAAGTAGGCATAGAGGTCGTTTACAGGTTAGCGCTGCGGAGAGTATATAATACTAGGCCTCAGAGTTTTCAAGTCTTCAGGTGTTGAGGGGTTTAGGACCTAATTTAGACATGTGTAGAAACGAAGAGACTTACGTTCACTCGGGGAGGATCCGCGTGTGCTGTGCTCGGAAGGAGCGCGGTCGGGACATCTTGTGTTTTTCTTGACTGGAATATTCATGAGGTTGCTATGTAAGGCTTGTCCACAGGCTACCAGCTTAAGGACCAGCCTAGGGTTTGGGGCGCAAGGTGTAAGGTTTAGGAATGAGGCTCAAAAGTTTTCAAGGCCATTGATCCACAGAATTCCAATGTTCGCACTCATCTGTGCGAAAGTCAGGAGGTTGTAAAGCGATGAAGGTTCAGAGTTTGGAGTTTCCTCACCAGAATCCCAGAGCTACACCCCAGAACCAAGCCTTCAACCCTTAAGGCATTGCTCGAAGTGAACTTGCGGAGGGTTTCATCTGATAACCCGAGCGACATGCAAGCTTTTAGGATTAAGATAGATTTAGGGTTTAGGGTCACTGCGAACGTTCGGAATCTCAGACGGCGCTGACTGACACTCACAGCCCAGCTGCAAAAGAGCCCCTACCACATGAGCACAAGAACTTGAAGAGATCGTACAGACCAGAATGTCGAAAACTGACAGATCAACCAATCACAATATATGCATCAGCACGTGGATTGTAGCCCAGTCCCTACAGTAAGACCCGAACAATCCCCTAATACCCTAACATCCCGATACTCCAAACCCTGTAATTCCCGAATGACCTAAACCCTCAGTACATCTAAACCCAGTTCGAAGCTACATGGTTCGCCTTGCTCGGAGCGCCCGCCGATCTGCGCTCGCTTTCTTGGCCGTCGCCGTCACGGCGCTGTGTCAGTTAGGCCTTCTTAGGGCTCCTGAAGGGTTCTAACCAAAAGGGCTATGCCATGCTACTTTGGTGGTTCATGTAAGGATTAAAGGAGGGTTCAATCATAGTCTCATTTTCGCGGCGCAGGATTTCGGGCTATATCTTTTTGTGCGTAGTTGTTGAAAAGGCGGGTGGGGCGGTCCGTGGGATTTGGTCAACTGTTTCAGATTCCTAGATTTACCATAAGGTATATGAGAGTATACAATGGTAGGGTATGTATTTATGTATATATGTATACATAAGTATGTACATATGTGTATATGTAAGTATGTATATATAATATCGATCGGCTGCTTTTTCAGGGGACAGGTGCCAGACGGACTGCCTCCCTGCAGGTATGGATGGCGCGGAAACCTTTGCAGTTCAAGCCGGGCTTCTTGTGCCAAATTGAATCGAATCGTGTGTAGCCAAAGTGGATGCACTACTACTAGTACTTGTCGTACCCTTAGTACTAGTGGTAGTGGTGGTCGTAGTAGGCTGTTTGAGTTGAGGGGGTTATGGTAGTTGTCGTTTCCTGAAATCTTGACAAGGCTGTAATTTGTGGCTTGCAGGGCTTATCTGCTTGTTTGCGAAGGTTTTCGTTGCTCCTAAAGGTTCTTGAGTAGGCTTGCACGTATGGTATACGAAGGCACAGCTACCTCAAGCGGCATCAGGGAGCATTTAGCCCCTGCTGGCAGCTGCTTCTGACTTCACGTACGGCTCGAACTAGCAAATCAAAAGCAGCAACAGCACGGAACACGCATAATGATGGAAGCTATACCTTTGTCACGGTGCACGCAACACCTTGCAATCGACAAGCTCTCCACGGTGCATGAACCCCAAACGAAACGTGTGCTTCTACCCAGACCAGACTCTCAGTGCAGCAGAGGAAGGTACTTTCACCCGGTGGGCTGGCACTGCAAGGAGTTCTCCTTGACGTGGATGGGACCCTCGTAGAGTCAACGGACCTAGCCTTCAGCGCAACCAACGAGGCTGGGAAAGAGCAGGACTTGGTTTTGCACCGGGTTCTGTTTGGAGGGGCCTGCGTAAGGTCAACTAGTAACACGGACGAGTAGTTCCTTGGAAGGTGCTGGAGAAGTTTGGCTACACCAAAATCACCGTTGAGGACTATCATCGTGGGACAAAATACACCACCCCTGTTCGCCTTGCATGGCATGCTGGCCTCGTGGAGGCGCCCGAATCCGACATGGCTGCCGCCAACGCACTTGGCACGGAGATGGGAAGGTTATTCGACAGTACCTATGTAGCCCTCGTGACGCCAACGACGGTGCCCCTTTTTGCAGGCTTTTCCGATCTACTTGCGGCCCTGGCAGAGAGAGGCACAACCATGGGTGTGTTGTCGAATGCTGCGCGAGAGTACGTGGAAGCTGTGCTCAGTGCCAACAAGCTTTGCAAGACCCTCGGGAGCAATAGCTGTATTTTTCGTCCTTGGGGGATTCGTTCGTCGAAGCTGTGGTTGTATTTACGACTCCCACGAATTGAGTTTCGAAGGTTCTTGCCTGTGCGGCACGGCGCAGACTCTGTTCCGAAGCCAAAGCCTGCGCCCGACGGACTGCTCCAGTGCTGTGCAGAGTTGGGAAAGCTCGAAGCGTCCCAGTACATCTATGCTCCTCGCACCATTACGGGAAAGTTGCTGCAAATACTCTCGCTTTCATGTTCTGAAATGGACGACAACTGAAAACCTTCCTGAAGTCCGCTCTAGATCTCGCGCTATCTCTTGTTGCTTTGCGTTTTCGGTTCATCTTACCTTTCTTTGTCTTCGAAGCCCCAGCTCTAGCATAGTCGTTAATAAGGTCGGTGATGGGCCCAACGATGGGCGAGCTGCGCGTGCTGCCGGCATGGCTTCAGTTGGAGTAGCTCGGCGTTTCAAGACCTCCAGGAATGCTTGCTGGATAAGATTCAGATGCTAGATTTTATTGAAGTCTTACAGTAGCTTTCGTCTTCAAGTGCCGCTAAAACGGTAGTAGAACCTGTAGTCGAGAGGCATGACAGTAGCTTGGAGCGGAGCAAGATTGTACTTGTCGGGAAATGCAAACCCTAGCGTAGCAGAGTCGAAAAAATCGAGCAGAAGGCATTGCTGGAGCATTGCATGAGAACGGTGAGATGATAGCCATACGATGCTAGTCACTGCTAGTAGCAGATCTCCTCAGCAGCATTGCTGTGACATGCCCTTTTCCGATGTATTGCAGTTTCGACCGTGGCCATGGCTGCATCGATGGTCATAATGCCATACCAAAGTCCATCGTATTAGAGGACGTGTCTCACATCATCCCTGTACGTTCGCTTATCCGAGGACCCCACGCGTAAAGGCAAGCTGACCCGCAGCCCCTTTGTACTCTCAGCAACCCTCAAGCCCTTTACCGTCATTACAGCAGCTGAAGACCAAAGGGAACCAAGCTGAACTCTAACTCAAACACTAAGCCCTCAACCCCTCCCCCTGCATAATCAAATCCCAAACCCTAGACCAAGCCCGAGGTGACCTGGGGCTCCTGTAACCGCGAGGTGCTGGAAGCCACCTTCGACGTCGCTCGGGTTGAAAACCTTGGGTTTGTGGATTTTCGGATTTCGAGATGGGGTTTGAGGGTTTAGGGGTTTAGGGTTTATAGGGCATCTGGAGCTTGGCTAAAGGGATTCAGGGCTTAGTGCATTGTAGTTCCTGCTCGAAACAAGGGCTTATAGGGTTTATAGGGTCTAGGGGTTTAGGAAAACGGGTATGATGCTCTACGTCTTGACGGCAATCTCGCGGGCTCTAACAATTAGATGGGCCCATACTGTAACTGCCAAAGTTGCATATCAAAGTCGTTACACCCCTACCTAACATCGGATGACATCGTATTTGGAGACTGCACTTATTTGTACGTAAGTGTGTACATATGTATGTGTCTGACTTCTCATCCCGGGCACTCGCATTTCGACCTCTTAGGCCAAGTCCTCCCTATATGTGTTTGTTGGGGCATGGAGCGTCGGGTTTGCAGTGCCTGTGCTATCCAGGAATGCTATTTCTTCTTGATAGATCAGAGGCTCATAGGAGCCACATCGGTAAATACCGCCCGCCGTACAGAGCCGCCACTACATGGTATCGGATAGACAGCTGCGAAAGCTAACGATAGATGCAATGGACTCAAATACCCAATACCTAAAGCCGTACACGCTCCAGCGCAAAACCAACCCCTTGCGGAAGCGACAGCGCTCCCCTTCCACCTGCTGAGGTCGTGGTTGACACGGTCGAGGAGTTGACAAAGGCTTCGAAGATTCTAGACTCCTCTCGGGTTCGATGAACTTTGTAACATGGTTGCAGGTGCTGTAAGCGTTGATACGGGTTTCCAAGGGCTTAGATAGCGACTTCAGAAGAAGAACCCCCAACAATCAAGAAAGAAGGGCCCCTACCTGCATAAGGCCACCCTCCCCCGCTCCCCCTCGAAACTATTAATGAGAAGAAGGCCCAAAAAAGAATAAGAAGAACAACAAGAATAAGAATAATGGTTAGTACTTGACCTTACTGCAGGTGCTCCTGGCATCTCTTGGGCCCTCACCGACGAGTGCCAAGTGAGCCAGTCGAGGTTTCACGCTTGTTTTCCACGGAGCCTTCAAGACCAAGAATGTGTTGCTTTCTGCTGGCGGGCATTGCGTGTGCAAAAAAGGATCACATGTTGGACGAGGGGCTTCAGTCAATTCTGCTACAGGGATGATGGTTTTCCCATATACCTTGAAGCCTATTCCCCAACTTGCATCTGCAATGTAGGGAACATTCCTGAGGATGTTGGGCTCTTTTTGTGTTCTGTTTGGGGTTCATGGCGGCAGCTCTTGGCTTCTTGTAGAGCCGACAACAACAACTGGTGTTCTGGACAAGAACCCAGCGAAGCGACTGCTGCAGACAAATCGGTTTTGGGCATTCAGATTTTTAGGAGTGTGTTTTTCAATCTTCAGGGTCTGAGCCTGAGGGATTGTCGCCAGGACAACAAGAAGCGGTTGACGGAGATTTCCAACTGGATGAGTGTCCTTTGTGGCCGCCATCTGGAGAGGCCGCACACCTCGAAGTGTTCCCGTTTTCAGTTACCTTCACAAAGAGATCTGCATTGGAGGCTGTGAAATCGGGATTTCGAGAAGAAGCGTGAGAATGAAGACTCAGGGAAATCGGCAAGGGAACATTTTCATTATGGGTGAGTGGGAGGACCGTGGTCCTAGTAGCGAGGTATATACGCAAATCGCCTAGAAGAGAGAAAGGGAGATTGAAGAGACATGGGGTCGAGTAAACCCAGACGGATAGAAACGTCGGAGTCTAGGTCCCCTTAACTCCAGACCTGCATGGTTAACTCGGAGCACAGGGTAAGCCCGGAACTCCAAGAGCTGCGCATATCAAAGCAAAGCAGCTTGTAGCTAAGCGCCGGAAGAAGGATTCTAGGCCAGAGTTCAGTCCGGGATGTAAGCCTACTATGTTGTCGTGCCCTGGGGCAGCGGGTACCTCGGGCCGTAGCTACTTCAACCAATCGAACCTACCATTGACCCAAAGCTATTACATAGAAAGCGGGCCTTCGAAATTCGAAATACCAGAGGTTACCAAAAACCACACGGGCAGCTCAAACTCGTGGGGCAAGAACCCGAAGAAGTGCATTGGAGACTTCCGCGAGAGACGTAGGCTCTGAACTTGAAACCCTGAATGGTTCGGAACCCGCATGAAGCTTGAGTTGTCACTGGGCTCTGAGCAAACAACAGCGGCTACTTGTCTTGAGGGCCTCGAAAAACAAGGTCTCAACTCTTGTGTCCCGCAGTTTCGGAAACTCTCAATGCAGTTGGTGGGTTTCAGGAAGTTCTAGATTTACGGTTTAGGGTTTGGTGGGCTACTGGGTCTCGTTACATGCAAATCGACAAGTTGTCGGCCGCTCAAGGGCCTGCCGGTCCAGGAATATCATTCCCGCACCGTCAATTCTGGAAGCTGAGTAAGAGGCGGGAGTCTGTAGCATCGTACCACAATATTTAGAAATTAAAGAACCCGCGCTGCGACTCCCAACGTGCTTCTCGGCAACTGGAAACGTCGGGTTGTTTTGGTTCCTACCAGTGTAAGGGCAGAGAGAGAGAGAGAGAGACACAGGGACTAATCGGGTCATGTTCTTCCTTGACATGTCAGGAATCACGACACAATGCTCATGGCTTATCAGAAGCGAGTGGTGCGACGTCAGGCCCGGATGATGCTTGTATTTTTGCTATTTTTGTTTTCCGATTGCGTGGGGAATCAGCACGGCGTCCAGGAATCGACGCTTAATCGATAAGCATTCGCACGAGGCGTGTCATGTTCTCGCGAATCGTGTGAGAACCCCCGCGCAAAGGAAGACGGGTTCGTGGCTCCTCTTTGCGTTTGTCTTGGAGGGGTGGGCGAGGTTGAGGCTGCTTGGGCCACAATGACAGGGAATGGAACAGACAAGTGAGGCATTATCGGATGACCCTCTAGCCGGTATGCAGCCATTTTACAGAGACCTCGCATGACATAATAATAAGGCTAATAATAAGAATAAGAATCATAACAATAGCAATATTATAAATATTATTGTAGTAATATTAATAATATATAGAATAATACTTATTATACTTATACTTGTAATAGTAGAAATAATAATACTAAGCAGAGCATGGAAGATACAAGGCCCCTGGAGTCCCAGGCAGACGACTCCTAGCAATCCTCCCACACTCGTTTAGGGTTTAGGGTTTAGGGTTTAGGGTTTAGGGTTAGCATCCCTCCCCTTGCAAGCCCCGGTGTTGTGGGTTTCTGGACGTATAGTATACTATAATATACGGTGACATACGAAAGCTCATATACAATAATATCCTAGAGTATGAAGATATGCTATAATCTACGCTAGAAATGGGCTCTTGATTTCAGGCTCAGGGTTTAGGATGCGGATCGCGGGTTTAAGATTTAGGGGCCACCGGAAGGGAGAAGCTGTGAAGCGCCCGTGTGTGTTGCAGCCGTCCATCTCACAGTATTCCGTGTCGGAGGGTTTTCAGAAGAGTTGCCAATATCTTCTCTAAGGATGTGAAGACTGTACACCGAACCCCTTTTGAAAATATTTCGACCGCTTAAATGAGGCATCTGTAGTACTTCGGAAGAAAAGCTCCGTATAGGAACGGTTAACAGATTGGTGTTCTCGGAATGAAGCCTGGCCCCGTAAGATCTGATGAAGGCGTTCTACGAGCGGATCTCCTGGGTCCAGCTGCAACACCTGCGCGTGGTCGTGGACTCTCGGGCATAAGACCAGGTGGAACCCTGACTCCTGAACACGAATCCCTGAAGCCAAAAATCTCGGAGACCGAATCCGGAGCCCCAGATGCCTTAGCCATTCGTGATTCCTCCGGTAGCTTTCTCAGCACGCACCTGGTCATGGAATCTACGTCGGTCTTTTTTTTGACATGAAAGACCTGGCTAAGCCATCCCGTGACCTCAACCTGTACAAACCTTCGAAAAGCGGTAATCTACGTCGGTCTAAGGTTTGGGGTTTAGCGTGTACGGTCCCACCGAGGTGTTATTCTTATTCGTCCGAAGGAACACTGGACTAGTAAGCCAGGCTCCGTGGAGCCCTCTACAAGTAGATAGTCTAGGCTATCTAATGTAGGGGCCTTAATAATTAGAATAAAATTTTGGAGTCCATTATACTACAATTATAAGAAGGAACCCCCCAAAATAGTATAGGTAATTATTTAGGGCCCCTATATTACCTTTTTTTTATGGGGATATGGCTCCGTGGGAATTAGCGAGTACGTATCACGGGAGCCTGTAGGTTTTAAGTGGTTTCCCTTTGTGGGTTCCTGAGTATAGTAGCTAGAATATAATCGAAAACCCTATTACAATCTTTGTGGCACACACAAACAAATATTTAAAAAAAAGGCCTGTAAATGACCTTGTGGTATGTTGGATTGTCAGTGTGAGGGAGCAGGCCACATGTGTGGGTCAAGGCTTTCGAGCAGAGAGGCCTAAGTCCTAAGACGTACGCTCTAGTCCGTCTAGACCTTTCAGTAAAGCACATACACATACGTACAACACACAGTATAGAACCCGTTCGTATCAAGCATGTATGTAAGTATGCATGTATGTATGTAGGTAGGTAGGTATGTATGTAATGTAATGCAGTTCAATGAAATGTAAATGTAATTTAGCGCAGCGTAATGTATGCATGTATTAGCGTATGCATGTATGCATGCATGATCATGCATGTATGTATATGTATGTATGTATGTATGTATGTATGTATGTATGTATGTATGCGTATAAATATAAATATAAATATAAATATATATATATACACACACAAATAAATAAGAATAAACAAAGAGAGAGAGAGAGAGGTGTGTGTGTGTATATATATATATGTACGTATGTGCACATATTTACGTTTGGGTAATACCGGAATTATAGGCTCGTATGAAATGGCCTACGGCTTGTCTTGGCCTTATAGGGGTTCAGGGTTGGGCAGTTTAGTAAAGTGTTGGCACCTCAATGTTGAAGATGACGCTCGGGGCCGGAAGACTTAGTAATACTCCCCCTTCGGCCAGGCGTGTACATTACTCGAAAGTTTGGAGAGCATAGCCTAAGCTTCAAAGCTTTAAAGCCTAAGCCCCACTGAAACCCTTACAAGCCCCACATCCCCCGAAGCCTTAATCCCAAGAGCCCTAAGTCTTGACCTTAAACATGAAGCAATGAAGCCCGATCATATAGGGGCCTAAATATTACTTGCCACTATTATTTTGGGGGTTCCTTATTAAAATAGAGTATAATGGGCCCCAGAACCCTATTCTCATTCTGAAGGCTCCTACAGTACACCCATTCCTAGCTCAGGAGAAGCTGTCGAAGCTCCTGGTCGAGCGACAGGAAGAGCTCAAGATAGCCAGGACAAGACAGGCGCGAATTCCCAGGTGGAAGAGGTAAGCTTCTTGGGCCAAGGCCAAGGATCTTCAGGCTCTGGAGATTGATTGTTTGAGAGTCTAGATCCATCTAGGAATTAGCGGTTTGCGCGATTTTGGGTTTTTCTGGATGGTGGGATTGTGTAAGGCTTTAGAGGTTATAGGCTTTGTGTAGGGCTTGCAGGGTTCAGGCCGAGGAAGCAGGGTTTCAGCACGGCTAAAGAGGGTTTGGGGATGGGGGGTTTTGGGGTTGGGAAGAAGGGCCTTGGAGTTTGAGGGCTTGGGTTTTTTAGGGGTACAGTAGGCGCTATGGTCAAAAGGGTTTTAGGAATTAGGGTTTCAGGTTCTTGGGGTCATAGTTTGGGGCTCAGGAATCAGGGCTCCAAGACTCAAGCCGTGAAGTCTCGAGCCTGAGCAGTCTTGAGCAGTGGAACATAGAGAGTTGAGGCCTGGACAAGCCCCGAGGGCCCCAACCGGCCCCCTTGGTCACCCCAACGCCTCAAAGCCAAAACCAAACACGCCCAAAATGCCAGGAAGTCCGCCTGTATCGGCGGCTGACCGTCGAAGCGGCCCGGTCGAAAGGGGTTTATGCTTTGGACTTCATGGTCAATTCAGGCCTCAGGTTCTTGAGGGAGATGCTTCGGAAGGCTGAGTGAGGACTTGAATATGTCAATTCTGATGGGAAAATTCGCTGGAAAGGGGTCTCAGCAGGCATCCATACTTTTCCAAGAACCCATGTGAGCTACGATCACTCTTCGGGATAGAGGGCTTCATCCATGAACGACGTGGGACTCGTCTGACTATCATATTGAAGCCCTCCGTCATCAGGGATCACGTTTTTTTTTGACATTGGTAAACGCTTAACCTTTTGGGGCCTTAATAATTAGAAAAGGGTTTTGGGGTATATTATACTATAGTTATAACCATAATAATACCCCCAAAAGCGCTAAAGCTCGAAGCCCGGAGTTCACCTGTAACCATGCCTCTCAGGCTTGCTGCCTGCTGTACGAAGTGAGGCTGCGGTCTGGCGTGGCTTTGAGAACATACAAATCAAAGGAAGATCTTTGATGCGGAGGTCGTATCCCTTCATAGTCCCCATCGAGCTCTCAGGGTTCAGGGTTTAGGGTTTAGGGCGGTTTAGGGTATCACATGCCCCAACACCCTGGTGTATTTAATGGTCTTGCCTCCGACAAGACAAGGTTTCGACTTCAAGAAGCCCTAAGCCCTAAGTTGCCGCGACCCTTAACGACAGCCCGAAGCCAGAACTTGGAGGTGTCAGGCTTCAAGGGCTCAGCGGGTCCAGTGCGCAGTGGTCTTCAGTCAGGTTTGGTATGTTGTTTTGAAGGTGGGAGGAGGAGGAAGTGCGCGGCGGTTGCGAAGACTAAGAGCCCCATGCCCCTTAATTGTGACGTGGTCTTTTTTGTCCGAAAGCCTGGAAGTATGAGTTGTAAGAGCCTTCCAGTCAAAATTCTGGTACGGGCTGAAACGAGGACACTGTCTCCCCCGCGGCCTATAGAGGGTCTTCAGGGTTTAGAGGTGTAAGGTCTAGATGGTTTGGAGTTTTGTGGGTCGCTTGCCGAGGAGCTGCAAAAAGATGGCAGCCTGACACAGAACGAGGCGCAATACAGCTTGAACGGCGCAGATTGCTGGGTGTCACACCCTAAACCCAAAGCCCCTCAGCACCCCAAAAGCAAGCCTTAGCCTTTAACGCTATACCCTAAAACCCTACAATGTTCGTTGGTGAAGATAGCTGTATGCGTTCGGGATGCAGATATACAGGAGAATGCAGGGACTTTCGGCTTGGGTTCGGGTGGCATCGAAATCCCCTGAAATACCTGAAGCCTGCCGTGTTCATGTTTGTCAGGAATGCTGGTGTAGACGGTATAAATATAGATATACAGACATTAAGGTAAAGATAAACAGGCATATGCATTTATGTGCGCGCAACGTATAAAGGTACATGGATGTAGAGGTGTACAGATACAGATCTTTGTCGTTCGTTACCTCAGAAGTCGCCGTCAGAATTCAGAACTTCAGGGGTCGATGTTTGACCACAGATGGTTAACCTGGGTCTGATATAGAAGCCCGAGTATATACTGGTACCAATACCACGCCTCAGGGATACCTATGGGGGTTTCCAAAAAAAGGGGGACCCTACCTATAGTACCCTAAATAATAGGATCCTTATTATAAGGACCCCAAAACAAGGTACCCCTAATTTTCGGAAACTCCCATATCATAGTTATATCATTCCTCAGGGCTCTTTGCTTGAACTATACTCTGAGACA